CTTCAAGAAACTTTCAGCATGTTTAAAATATTCAAGATTTCCAGAAATTTGGTTTCGAAAGTATTTTTAAAAAATCATGTTCGAAGTGCTTTCAATCCAGCATTACAGCAAATATATACACTCAATATTTGCTTCGTATGTTTACAAAATTTTCACATTGTAATTTCTATCGTATGCGATGTTAAATAAAAATTTATGATATCAAATTCTGCTCAATTCTAATAAACTTCTAATAATATCGCCGAGTGATGTAAAAATTTATCCAGACTGTTTCAAGGTAACCTTCTTATTGAGAATGTAAATATAGATATAAAAGATATTAATATGGCTTAAAATTATTTATTATTAATTACTATATTTATTACAAAAGATAATTCTAATAGATAAATCTTGATGATGAGAAATAATGCGAGAAATAATATTATGATGATGAAAGATAACATTATAATGAAACTTTAAGTATGTCAGTTGTGATGAAATATTAAAATTTACAAAAGATAATCGAGTACACGTGAAAGGAAAATATTTTCGTAAACAATTTAACGAATGCAACCGCTTAATTGTCATTCTTTCTGTTTTAATTATAATTAGGTCACTGCATGTAAAATTTCAGGTTGCGAAAATTAGTGAGACGCTCTTATACTATATTAATATTATAAAATAAATATTGACCGATTATATATCAAATATGTTATAAAAACGTAATATTTTTTTCAAATTTTTGCCTTTCAATAATTTTATAGTTAAATAATTTTGGCCATTTCTCACATTAAAAAAATTTTTATATTTAATCGATATCCTATGAATCGAATTAACAACTTATTTTTATTAGAATTTCATGAATCACCATTGATTCAAAGATAAATATTGTTAAAATTGTTAATTGGATTTTATAAATTTTAAGAACCGTTGATGTAACATCGACATCATATGAACAACTCAATACTTTACTTCTCCGCGTGAACGTTTTAATTCTTACTTTTAATTAACTCTCGTGCGTGCCGTCAAGGAATACCGGAGATACAGATATAATAATCGCGCAAAAGACGTAGATTCGAGGCCTTGGAATAATTTATAATGTGCGATATAATAGAGTTAATTGATACGTGATATTATTTTGTTCTTTATCTCTTCCCTCTTGTTATAAAACTTATAATCCGCAGTTTCCTTTTCTTTATTATTCAATTTGCAAATGCCAGATTTATTTATAATTGTGAGAAATATTTGCTTCTATATAATGCCAAACGAAAGGAAATCCCCAATGTGAGATCAACCAGATTAAAAATTGCGAAACCGATCCTCCCTCCTTCCTTTTAATAATTCCCGAGATACGTATTGTTATATATGCAATTATATATTATTTAGTTATTTTCCACATAAAAGAAAACATATGTCATAAACACTGAGTAGTTCTTTAGTTTTAAATGTGTTCTATATCTTTAGATTTTTCGATCAGATAATTACATAATTGTCTGTATATTTGAATTTGAAATCTGATATACAATAAATAACAGGATATTTAAACTAAGATCATGTCAATGATAACATCAAATGAGAACAATCTTTATTATGAATCTATTTCTGTTTGAGTGTGAAAATCAAGTCGCTTATCGTCATTAATGCAATGGCTTATGGAAATTCCTGATCTTATCAAATCTTGGATCTAATCTTGGAAAAGCAAAAAATAATGGAAGTTAGATAAATTTATTTTGACTTTTTGCCATTCCGAAATTGTGTCCTCAATTGTATTTTTGAAAAAGCGTAACTTATTAAAGACGTCTTTTAAAAATAGATAACGCTACATAAAAAAATAACGCAGTGGAAACAGCGCAAGTGTTTTAGAATTAGATTATAAAGATATAAGTAAATATAAATTAAAGAAATATTAACTTCGAAAAATAGCACGAATAATTATATTAATAAATTTTAAGAATTTATTTAAAAAAAGAATCGGATTGGAATTAAAAAATATTGATATTTATTTCATATAAATATACTTTACTATACATATATATCGAAATCACATTACATCACATTTGCTCATATCACAATTTTTTGTTCACACAATATTTTGTTTGTAGAAATTGCCTGTTCTGAGTTTAATTCATTTCCAAGAAAAAATAATGCATTTCAAGAGTCACTACACTTCTAATATCCATTTTTATCAACATTAGATTACTTTAAGCTCATTTCATCATAGACGTAATAAGACTAGATTTCCTTGAAATTGTCGCTTGAACAATAGCTTAAAAAGAACAAGATACCTTGAAGTATTACTTTCTATATCTAAAATACGTTAAAGAGAATTGAAGAGACATCTTGATATGTTTAATTCTTTCTAATAGAACATAGCAACTAATTGTAAGACAGGGAATGCGCAGTCTATTTCTATTATCTTTTTCTAGTTCTAAGAATTAGAAAAAGATAAATAAGATAAACCAAAACTATAGTAAAGTGTATATTGGTAGAAATGGATATCAGACGTGTTGTCGCGCGACAGATTTTCTTTGCTCGTAATTCTAGCGATCTCCGAGCACGATAGAAATACAGAGCAAAGCTTTCGAAATTGTTTGCGCAACAATTATTTATCGGCTTATTAAACACATTTCCACAACCTCGCGAGGGAAGGTAGGAAAACATAGCGGTGTTACGTATTATAGGCAAATAGAAGGTAATTCGCGGTGAATGATTATTTGAGAAGTGGTACACGAAAAAACCGCTTGTACATATTATGCAGCACGTGCCACTAAAATTATCACACACATGACGGATTTATGCGTTAAATTTTTTTTTTAACGTAATAGCTTACATTCACGTCGAATATTTAGTGCTAAACGTGGCTGTACGATTCCTTTCTAAGAAATCCATTACGACAGAGTTCAATGCAATCAATAAACTTAAACCTTACTAATTTATTCTATTAAACAAGAAATTACCTAATACTGTTACCTACTTAATACATATTATTTTCTAGTCAGTGTATGTAATCTTCTATTAAAGATTTAAATCATTTAGAATAATTCAAAAAAAGTCAACAGAAATTTCAAAAGAGGATTATTCAAAGGAATTTCGTTCAATAAAATTTGCGAGTGTCGAGACTATTAATGTCAAATTTAGAAATAAAAGAATTCACAATTCCATATCTCTTACTCTAAAAATTCTTTTCATGTATTGAAGGACAAAAATTTCAATATTTTACGGCTTATCGAAATGTAAATCTACCAAGATTTATTTTAAAGTACAAAAGAATCCAACGTGAATAACATAAATTAATATAGTTACAAAATAAACTGTATAGACTATGTCTCGTAAAAAAGAACAGATAAAAAACAGTTCAAAGTAAAGAGTTTCAAACATAAACATCTATTTTTTTTCTCTGAGTTTATCAATTTTTCGTCTAGAATGTTTGTTATAAATTGGAGGGTTGCAGTTTTATTTTCTAATAAAAGATTTGTTCGCGTTGCATGCTCTTATTCACTTCAATGCGTTCGTTGAAGTCAAGAGCTATGATAGAAGTATGTTGGAGCATGCGACGCAAACAAAGTCATTTTCTTCATCTCTCGAGATCTTTTATTCGAGACATATTTAACAAGCGGTTCAGATGACTTAACGAGGATCTGCAAGAGTGAAGAAATTCCAATTAAATTATAATAA